GCAAGGAGACTGAAAAAGCCGACTTGTTTTTTCAAAAATCTTCAACTTTTGAGTATCGAGCAAAAATAAGATGGTCTTGAAGCTCTTTGAGTTTGTAGAACAATTTATAATGAACCATTGTTGTTAAAATTAACCCAATTTGACAAAACTGGATCATTAGGTAAAATTTTATTTCGCTGAGAAATCTGATAATTAATTTCCATTTTCGATATTACAAGGCGATCACATTTTTCGTGACCTTCACACTTTTGCTGGTCGATCATGCAGTTAGCCTTCCCATTTACAACGGAAATGCACTGCACTTAGAAACAAATCGCAAGTCAAACCGCGAAAAAAATGAGCGTTTTCCGTGGCTTTTCCATTTTTGCTGTTCGATAGTGAAATTTGCCTTCGTTTTACAATGAGGCGAAGTTTCATTTCGCATACACAAAAAATATGACCGATAATGGTACTGAGAAAAACTAAAATATTTTGAGTTGCCAGATCTGTAAATGCCAGATCTGTAGAAAAAAAAATCCGTCTAATTTCGTTTTTGTAGCATCCGTCTAATTTGCTTATCGTCTAATTTCCTAGGCTCCTTATAGTTTACACTTCAAAGGACTGATGGGATGTAATTAAAATACTTCAGCCTATTTTAGACATAGCCAACAGACAATTTAAAAGTCAACAAACTCAATAAAACCAAGAAACATAGCCGACAGACAGTTGGAGAAGTGTAAACGAACAAGGAAACCGAAAAAGAGTGATTAAAAACTGATTGTTTTTCAATTTTCGAAGAAAAAAATAAAAATTAGGTAGAAGCTCTTTGAATTAATTTATCCCAATCAGAGAAAATTAGAGTTATCAAATTAGGAATTCATAAAACAAGAAACATAGCCAACTGACAGTTGGAGAAGGGTAATGAACGCAAGGAAGCTAAATAAAAAACTGACTTGTTTTTTTTTGGAAAACAATCAACTTTTGAATTTCGAAGAAAAAAGATGGCTTCAGAGCTCTTTGAATTTGTAGAAAAATTAATAATTTTCAACTTTTTGTTAAAATTACCCCAATTTGAGAAAACTGGGCGCATAGAACATAGCCAACTGACAGTTGGAAAAGAGTAATGAACGCAAGGAGACTGAAAAAACCGACTTGTTTTTTCAAAAATCTTCAACTTTTGAGTATCGAGCAAAAATAAGATGGTCTTGAAGCTCTTTGAGTTTGTAGAACAATTTATAATGAACCATTGTTGTTAAAATTAACCCAATTTGACAAAACTGGATCATTAGGTAAAATTTTATTTCGCTGAGAAATCTGATAATTAATTTCCATTTTCGATATTACAAGGCGATCACATTTTTCGTGACCTTCACACTTTTGCTGGTCGATCATGCAGTTAGCCTTCCCGTTTACAACGGAAATGCACTGCACTTAGAAACAAATCGCAAGTCAAACCGCAAAAAAAATGAGCGTTTTCCGTGGCTTTTCCATTTTTGCTGTTCGATAGTGAAATTTGCCTTCGTTTTACAATGAGGCGAAGTTTCATTTCGCATACACAAACAAAAATATGACCGATAACGCTACTGAGAAAAACTAAAATATTTTGAGTTGCCAGATCTGTAAATGCCAGATCTGTAGAAAAAAAAATCCGTCTAATTTCGTTTTTGTAGCATCCGTCTAATTTGCTTATCGTCTAATTTCCTAAGCTCCTTATAGTTTACACTTCAAAGGACTGATGGGATGTAATTAAAATACTTCCGCCTATTTTAGACATAGCCAACAGACAATTTAAAAGTCAACAAACTCAATAAAACCAAGAAACATAGCCGACAGACAGTTGGAGAAGTGTAAACGAACAAGGAAACCGAAAAAGGGTGATTAAAAACTGATTGTTTTTCAATTTTCGAAGAAAAAAATAAAAATTAGGTAGAAGCTCTTTGAATTAATTTATCCCATTCAGAGAAAATTAGAGTTATCAAATTAGGAATTCATAAAACAAGAAACATAGCCAACTGACAGTTGGAGAAGGGTTATGAACGCAAGGAAGCTAAATAAAAAACTGACTTGTTTTTTTTTTGGAAAACAATCAACTTTTGAATTTCGAAGAAAAAAGATGGCTTCAGAGCTCTTTGAATTTGTAGAAAAATTAATAATTTTCAACTTTTTGTTAAAATTACCCCAATTTGAGAAAACTGGGCGCATAGAACATAGCCAACTGACAGTTGGAAAAGAGTAATGAACGCAAGGAGACTGAAAAAATCGACTTGTTTTTTCAAAAATCTTCAACTTTTGATTATCGAGCAAAAATAAGATGGTCTTGAAGCTCTTTGAGTTTGTAGAACAGTTTATAATGAACAATTGTTGTTAAAATTAACCCAATTTGACAAAACTGGATCATTAGGTAAAATTTTATTTCGCTGAGAAATCTGATAATTAATTTGCATTTTCGATATTACAAGGCGATCACATTTTTCGTGACCTTCACACTTTTGCTGGTCGATAATGCAGTTAGCCTTCCCGTTTACAACGGAAATGCACTGCACTTAGAAACAAATCGCAAGTCAAACCGCGAAAAAAATGAGCGTTTTTCGTGGCTTTTCCATTTTGCTGTTCGATAGTGAAATTTGCCTTCGTTTTACAATGAGGCGAAGTTTCATTTCGCATACACAAACAAAAATATGACCGATAATGCTACTGAGAAAAACTAAAATACTTTGAGTTTACAAAACTTCTTAAGTGACGCACGCCAATTATGACGCATTAGCAGTACCAATTTGGGGAAAAAAAAAGAAATTTACCAACTGAAATGCCTCAAATTTTAGAGTGCACACATTTCACCTAGTATACAAAAAAAGTTCATAAAAAAAATTCAGAACCTGCCGGGGTTCGAACCCTTTTATTTTGTTGCTGGTCTCCCTCCCTACCTCTACGCTAAAGATCCATGATACCTTGAAGCTTAAGTGCTATTTGTAAAATAATCTAAAAACCAGCAATTTTTGCAAAAAAAAGCCAAAAACATTTGTGTGACGGCACTTTTAAGATTGCACCAAAACCGTTTCGTCAAAATTATACAATATTCAGTGTAGTGCAAGATTATTGGAGCAATATAGGCGATATTTGCCGAAAATTGTATAAAAATTAACGTAAATTTTACATGTCAATTATGCATAATTTATTCAATTCAAAATTCTTCTGTAAAATTTGGATTTGACATTTTATATTCTTTTAAATTAATTGTTTTGATAGGTATTGTCATTTTATGTTCTTTTCGTATTTGTGAAGTTTGACATTTAAGAAAAAATTTTGTTGGCCCTTTCCTTTTTATAGCAGCGACGTCTAAAATGCCAGATCTGTTAAAAAAATTCCGTCTAATTTCGTTTTTGTAGCATCCGTCTAATTTGCTTATCGTCTAATTTCCTAGGCCCTTTATGATTTACACTTCAAAGGACTGATGGGATGTAATTAAAATACTTCCGCCTATTTGAGACATAGCCAACAGACAATTGAAAAGTCAACAAACTCAATAAAACTAAGAAAGACAGCCGGAGAAGTTAAAACGAACAAGGAAACCGAAAAAGGGTGATTAAATGCTGATTCTTTTTCAATTTTCGAAGAAAAAAATATCAGGTAGAAGCTCTTTGAATTAAATTATCCCATTCGGAGAAAATTAGAGTTATCAAACTAGGAATTCTTAAAACAAGAAACATAGCCAACTGACAGTTGGAGAAGGGTAATGAACGCAAGGAAGCTAAAAAAAACTGACTTGTTTTTTTTTGGAAAACAATCAACTTTTGAATTTCGAAGAAAAAAAGATGGCCTCAGAGCTCTTTGAATTTGTAGAAAAATTTATGATTTAAAACTTTTTGTTAAAATTACTCCAATTTGAGAAAACTGGATGCATAGAACATAGCCAACTGACAGTTGTAAAAGATTAATGAACGGAAGGAGACTGAAAAAAACCAACTTGTTTTTTCAAAAATCTTCAACTTTTGAGTCTCGAGCAAAAATAAGATGGTCTTGAAGCTCTTTGGGTTTGTAGAACATTTATAATGAACAATTGTTGTTTAAATTAACCCAATTTGACAAAACTGGATCATTAGGTAAAATTTTATTTCGCTGAGAAATCTGATAATTAATTTCCATTTTCGATATTACAAGGCGATCACATTTTTCGTGACCTTCACACTTTTGCTGGTCGATCATGCAGTTAGCCTTCCCGTTTACAACGGAAATGCACTGCACTTAGAAACAAATCGCAAGTCAAACCGCGAAAAAAATGAGCGTTTTTCGTGGCTGTTCCATTTTTGCTGTTCGATAGTGAAATTTGCCTTCGTTTTACAATGAGGCGAAATACCTCAAATTTTAGTGCACACATTTCAACTAGTATACAAAAAAAAAGTTCATTAAAAACCTTACGACCCTGCCGAGGTTCGAACCCTCTTATTTTGTTGCTAGTCTCCCTCCCTACCTCTACGCTAAAGATCCATGATACCTTGAAGCTTAAGTGCTATTTGTAATATATTCGTCTGTGTTAATATCCTTAGCATTGGCTGTACTAAACAGCTGGTTATTGATCAAAATAAACGCTTTCAAAATGAACACATTTTGCCGAACTATATTTGCACCGCAACAATAATTGCGACTTACGTTGGAAAAAAAGATAGTTCATACTATAACACAAGCTTTGCTTGCGTAAACCAACGAGATGAAGTGAACTTAGAAAGAAATCATGTCAAACCTCGAAAAATCAAACTTGAGCGTGAACAATTTGTAAGCCTTTTTTTTCTGAAAAAAAAACAAATAAAAATCATTAAGACCTATATAAGTCAAAATCACTTCGTTATTTTACACTTCAAAAACACGAACTAATTTTGAATGAAATAATGAAAGATTTTGCAAAGAATCTTTAATGATTGAGCTTTATTTGTGGAGAGCGTAAATTTCTTCCGCCAAAATAATGGAAGTGCGATTCTTCTTCTCATTGCATCTACCTATACTTAGGCCAAATCGAAAGACAAGAAAGGAAACTAAATTGCAACAAATTGAAAAGTAATAGATAAAACTGTAACTCAAACTGTTTTTCTAAACACTTGATCATTCTTTGTCATTGAATGGAGTTCAAAGATTCTGCTGCTCTCGGCGGTTAGGCTTAAGCTAATACTTCTATATCAGCAAAAACGTGGATTAGCTACTTTTATATACGATTTCTGATTTCACGGCATGATGTGGTGTTCATTAACCAAAAACTTTCAGGCAACCAGCAATACAAAACTAGTCAGGGAGTATATAGGCAAAACTGATTAAAAAAAACTCTAATTCAATAACCAGCAGAATCAATATATCGCTCTCGTGGGGTAGACGCATAGCACGGTTGCCGGTAGAAGTCTGGACTGCTGCTCGACTCTTCTGATCCCGGGAAACCATAACTATGCTGATGAATTACGTAGTTTAGCGGCATGTCTTCGCTATTTTGGTCCCAAATCTGGTCTGTATCAGCTGAAGACACAGTCTCTGGTGTAACTCCCGAGCCCATTGACTGCACTTCCGTTGATCCAACAACTTCATGCAGTTCATCTTGCGCTAAATAGAGTTTTCCATCGTCTGCTTTGATGTACGAAAACTTCTGCCCAGGTGGACGATGCATGCCGTGTTTCTTAATTAAATGCCCGCTCAGGTACACCCCGCGATGAAATACTGTTTCCGGGCCACAAAGATGACACACATACTCTGACCTTGCTTTTACATTGTGCTCTGATTCCATATGATAACGAAACCCGAACTGAGATTTAAATTTTTTGTCACAAAATTCACAAGATAGTTTTTCTTTTTGCTCGTGACTTTTCAAATGTTTCAGCAAGTCGTTTCTTGTTTTGGCCGAGTAATTGCATAATTCCATTGGGCAAGGAAACATCCTTTCCTCACTGTGCTTGAACTTCCAATGGTTTCTCAGAGCCGACTTTTTAGCAAATGGCAGCGCACACTTCGAGCATTGGTACAGCTTAACGTGTGTTCTTAAATGGTCCCTGAGAAGTGAGTAAGAGGCGAAAGCGATCTTGCAGAATGTGCATTTGTACATTTTCGATTTTTCGTCCAGAATTTGACGCACACAGTGGCCTTTGAGTTTCTCGATGTTTGCGAACATGGCTCCGCATTGTGGACAAGCAAACTTCTTGGCACCGGTATGAGTTCTGAGATGATTGTTAAGAAAGAATTTAGTCTGAAACAATTAGAGATCATTATATGATCATATGATTCTTGGGAACTGTGATTCTTGCATTCTTGGGAGAAAATTTCGACATTTTTATCCAACCCCACCAGCCTCTTTGACAGTAGATCTCACGTGGAGTGCGGTCTGTATTTAGACAACCGCGTATTTAGACAATCGAGATGAGAAAGCGAATTTTCGAATTAAATAATTATTATTTATTGATTTCTTCCTTGTCTCGATTCTGATTGGTTAATGCAGTATTTTTCTGCTTACTGACGAGTAGGAATACGAGGTTGTCTAAATACTGCTACAAAACCATCTCACGTGATCTTTCAACAAGATAAGCAAACATTCCAAAAAAAGCGATTGAAAACTGCAATTAAGAAAAAAAAAGCAGAACATAAATTTGTCTTGAAAATCAACTTATGTAATAAGAAGGATAGCCGACATGATTTATAGCCGACATGATTTTATAGTGGCCTTCATTTTTGATAACACAACTTCTTCCCGTTAGTTTTTTAAAACTTTTTGAAACAAAAAAATTTCCGTGTCAACAATTTTCTCAATGACATTCGAAAATCTCGCTCGAGCTGCGAGCTGTCGTATCCTCTCTGGTTTGGTATGTAGACTGTCGGCTGATATGTCTCGTCGAAATCTAAACTTTGTGGTCTTCACGAACGTGATTCCGTATGCTTCAGCCAGACGTCTATAACACCTGATGATTTTTACAAATAACTTTTTTTGTTCGATTGTTACAAAAATTGGCATGCAGGCTAATTAGGCGATGAAAAATATATTTGACTTTCTTTCTTAACTTTGTAAAAACTCTCGTTACATCGTTAAATTGATGCTCGTGAGGTTCGTAGGAGGCAAAAAATGGGACAAGGGACAAACTCTAAAATGTTCGGATCTTATTAACAACATACCCTTCCTCTCCCATCTCCTGAGGTATCCCCTTTGTATATAATTCTAAAATACGCTATTGGACCATTCATTCGAACATAACAATCTCTGAAAATTAAATCGAGGTGCCATGGTGTAGTGGTTATCACATCTGCTTAACACGCAGAAGGTCCCGAGTTCGAGCCTGGGTGGCATCAGATTTTACTATTTGAGTTCTTAATTGTTTCGTATTAAAAATTCTCAACACCAGATAATTTCAAGCAACAAAAATTTTCTAGAAACGCAATTTATTTCGAAACTTAATCAAAAGCTTTAATCTGTCAAATAAAGCTTTTAAATTAGTTTCGAAATGAACAGAACTCAATGCTCCGCTGTCGTAAATGTCGACAGTTGAAACAATACGACACTTTATCCCTATGAGACCTATTCGGTACAAGTACAATAGCTGGTGGAGTTGGCATGGTACCGGTACTAGTACGGCACGGTACAAAAGTTAAGAGGTACTAGTACCTTGCCAACACGGGGGTCAGTTTTTACTTAATAGTATTCGTTACTGAAGTATTCGTTGATTACGCTTGGAATTGAAAAACTGTTTTTCGCGTTTTCTTCAGCGTTTTTACTCTTTTCTACGTGATAATGTTGATAAAATCAATTATCCAAATGACGATTTCGGTAAATTTTTTCGAAACATGTTTCTTTTAGCCTGAACGAAGTCCTTTTTGTGGTACCAGTACATGTACTAGTACGTACGGTACTGGTTTTAGGTGGTACTAGTACATTGCTAACTCTAATAGTTGGGTTCCAGGAAGTAGCATGTATGGAAGATGAGTCCCGCAATTTATGAGAAAATTTCCAAAACGCAAGAAAACAAATGCGAACCATGTTTTCGAAGTTTTAGGGACCCAACTATCCTTCTAGTACCACATATTCTTGCTGTATGATATTAAGTTCAGATAAGTCAAGGTTCGGCATTCCACTCAAAGATTACCTTGAAAAGAGCAGTTCGGTTGCAGCCAATCCAAGTACATTTTCTTTCTGTTAAAGCCGAGGAGTAAACGTGATTTTTGACGTGTATATGAAAACTGTGGAAGCTGTAGAACGTTTCCATGCATCTTCCGTGATCCAACATGCATGTGAACCCATTTGGAGGCAAATCGGGAAGACTGGAGCAATATGCTATCAGCTGACACTGAGGAGGATTTGACTGCGATTTCTCAATAGCTTTTGTTGCACAAGCCTGTGAACATTCAAAACACAAGAGTATTATTAATTTTTTTTTCAATCATAGAACTAAATTAGAACACTTTATTGAAACAAACATTTTTCAGATATAAAATTAGCATAGTTAAGTATGTTGTTCCTCTGATTGTTCCCATGATTGTATCAGATAAAAATTTTGAAAAAAAATTATTGGCCCAGTGCAAGCGTGCTGATGTTGTAAAAAGCCTCCAACAAAATCGCCGAAAATAAAATGTCAGAACAAGTTGTTCAAGGGGTGAACTCCCATAGGTCCCACCGTGTAAAGACTAATGATTAGATGATTTGCTAACAACGAACTGGCGGCCAGGAAAGATCGGAAAAACTTCTAGTACTGCTACTTGCATCAATCTGTATCAAAAAACTCAAATCGGCGTATAAAATTTTGTTAGCAAACAATTAATATAGCAATTGAAGTTGCCTCTAGATTCTCGTTCTATCAATTCGAGCATGAGCTAAAATCAAATTCATTAATATATAAAAACAAGGTAAAAAACTCCAACAGCCAACAAACATGTGAAAACCCTTAATGTAATAAAACTCAAAAAGAAAAAGGATGAAGTTAACATTAAAAAATCAATTTACATAAACCGAACCTTTAATATCGCTAAAACTTAGCTGAATGACATTTTTTGACAGTAGGAGAAAAAATTGTTGCTTGTATTGCAGAAACCAAACCGAATAAGTCGAGAGAAAATGTTGTTAAAAATGTAGCTAAAATCAACTAAACAAAAATATTGTTCAAATGCACCTTTATTAACTTCTCAATGCAATTTTTAATCAACTAGCTAAAATACCTCGGGAACTGACGCAATTAGCAACATATTGCTGATAAAAATGCCTATATCAATGCTCTATATTGAAATTGATAAATCTTAACTTTGTAACGGGTATACTCTTTGCAAACTCCTGAGAAAGGCGTTCTTTTCAAAAATCTAGAAGCAGGTTAGATTCTAACAATTAGAAGCCAATTGCTTTGTTACAAAAGTGCAGTTAAATGTTTGAAAAGATTTTGCATTCTTGCTTATATAAATAGTTTGACAAATTTGACCTGCTTTATGCGAGGCAAATTGGTTTATGACAAAATTTCGCAACCATCAATGAAAACCGAAAATTAAAAAATCTGATTCAGTAGTATTAAAGATATTCGATGCAACTTAAAGATCTGAAGAAAACAATCGGAACAATTGATTACGCGCTTCTCTCGAGTGAACTCGAACTGTAATGTAGAAGGGGCGCTATTCTCAATTGGTTTTCCTGCTATCTTTCTGACAGGAGTCAATGTGCTATGACCAACTGTGTAATTACTCATTGGCCAGAGGTCCCACATGGGAGTTTCTACAGGATCTGTTCTGATTCTCCTCCTATTTTGTCAATGGAGATGTTGAAATTCAATTTCGCGAAATAGATACCATTGGCTGCAATAATGTTGAACTAAATAGCTATTCTGTTGATCGGAGATTATAGTCAAGTAACAAGATTGCCATGCTGTCCATTAGTCATACAAAATGAGGCCAGTGTTTTTTTAAAAATCTATAATATAATTTAATGCGGGCTTCACTATCTCGCCATGTTTAATCTTTTTCAACGTATTGTTTTTGCATGTTTAAGCTATATCGTATATTGCAATGGTTAAGAACTTTTTTTCGATTTTCGAATTTGATTTTAGTGATTATTTTTGCCGAGTTTAAATTAAGCAGCCCGATATCGAATTAGGGGTTGCGAATTTGGCCTCCATTGTTGAATGCCCGAATCAATTTAGTTAACGAGAAAAGTCGATTTTTGAGATTTTTTCAAAAATTTCAAATAACAAATTATTTTTCAAAATTTGAAATTCCCAACCCTGTAGTTAGGTGCTGTCAGGGCACTCCAAGGAGTTGCAAATCTTGCCTCCAAATGTGACTGTTCAAGTTCTTGTAGTTCCCGAGACATGTTTCTTGTGATTTTTTCAAAAAAACTTTCCGAAAATTTATATTAATTTTTTTTCGCAAAAGCTGAAATCCCCAACCCTGTAATTGGGTTCTGCCAGATTACTCTAAATAGCCTCGTTAAATCGTTATATTGATGCTCGTGAGGTTCGCAGGAGACAAAAAATTGGCTCTTTTCTAGTTCCCTCCTTTCGAATTCAATTTTGAAAAGTCTATTTAACGTTGTCATAATGCAATGAAATTTGGCGTGGTGAACAAATCGACAATTCTGAACAGATTTGTTCTTCATACTTTACAGGGTTACATCACGCATTTAGACGTAATAACACTTAAAACAAACATAAAACTCGGTATTTTGAAAGGGGGGAACTGGAAAAGAGCCAAAAAATGGGACAAGGGACAAACTCTAAAATGTTCGGATCTTATTAATAACATACCCTTCCTCTCCCATTTCCTGCGGTATCCCCTTTGTATATAATTCTAAAATACGCTATTGGACCATTCATTCGAAGATAACAATCTCTGAAATTTAAATCGAGGTGCCATGGTGTAGTGGTTATCACATCTGCCTAACACGCAGAAGGTCCCCAGTTCGAGCCTGGGTGGCATCAGATTTTACTATTTGAGTTCTTAAATGTTTCGTATAAAAAATTCTCAACACCAGATAGTTTCAAGCAACAAAAATTTTCTAGAAACGCAATTTATTTCGAAACTTAATCAAAAGCTTTAATCTGTCAAATAAAGCTTTTAAATTAGTTTCGAAATTAACAGAACTCAATGCTCCGCTGTCGTAAATGTCGACAGTTGAAAAATAATACGACACTTGATCCCTATGAGACCTATTCGGTACAAGTACAATAGCTGGTGGAGTTGGCATGGTACCTGTACTAGTACACGTACTAGAACGGCACGGTAGAAAAGTTAAGAGGTACTAGTACCTTGCCAACACGGGGGTCAGTTTTTATTTAATACTATTCGTTACTGAAGTATTCGTTGATTACGCTTGGAATTGAAAAACTGTTTTTCGCGTTTTCTTCAGCGTTTTCACTCTTTTCTACGTGATAATGTTGATAAAATCAATTATCCAAATGACGATTTCGGTAAATTTTTTCGAAACATGTTTCTTTTAGCCTGAACGAAGTCCTTTTTGTGGTACCAGTACATGTACTAGTACGTACGGTACTGGTTTTAGGTGGTACTAGTACATTGCTAACTCTAATAGTTGGGTCCCAGGAAGTAGCATGTAAGGAAGATGAGTCCCGCAATTTATGAGAAAATTTCCAAAACGCAAGAAAACAAATGCGAACCATGTTTTCGAAGTTTTAGGGACCCAACTGTCCTTCTAGTACCACATATTCTTGCTGGATGATATTAAGTTCAGATAAGTCAAGGTTCGGCATTCCACTCAAAGATTACCTTGAAAAGAGCAGTTCGGTTGCAGCCAAGCCAAGTACATTTTCTTTCTGTTAAAGCCGAGGAGTAAACGTGATTTTTGACGTGTATATGAAAACTGTGGAAGCTGTAGAACGTTTCCATGCATCTTCCGTGATCCAACATGCATGTGAACCCATTTGGAGGCAAATCGGGAAGACTGGAGCAATATGCTATCAGCTGACACTGAGGAGGATTTGACTGCGATTTCTCAATAGCTTTTGTTGCACAAGCCTGTGAACATTCAAAACACAAGAGTATTATTAATTTTTTTTTCAATCATAGAACTAAATTAGAACACTTTATTGAAACAAACATTTTTCAGATATAAAATTAGCATAGTTAAGTATGTTGTTCCTCTGATTGTTCCTATGATTGTATCAGATAAAAATTTTGAAAAAAAAAATTATTGACCCAGTACAAGCGTGCTGATGTTGTAAAAAGCCTCCAACAAAATCGCCGAAAATAAAATGTCAGAACAAGTTGTTCAAGGGGTGAACTCCCATAGGTCCCACCGTTTAAAGACTAATGATTAGATGATTTGCTAACAACGAACTGGCGGCCAGGAAAGATCGGAAAAACTTCTAGTACTGCTACTTGCATCAATCTGTATCAAAAAACTCAAATCGGCGTATAAAATTTTGTTAGCAAACAATTAATATAGCAATTTGAGTTGCCTCTAGATTCTCGTTCTATCAATTCGAGCATGAGCTAAAATCAAATTCATTAGAATATAAAAACAAGGTAAAAAACTCCAACATAGCCAACAAACATGTGAAAACCCTTAATGTAATTAAACTCAAAAAGAAAAAGGATGAAGTTAACATAAAAAATTCAATTTACATAAACCGAACCTTTAGGTATCGCTAAAAGTCAGCTGAATGACATTTTTCGACAGTAGGAGAAAAAATTGTTGCTTGTATTGCAGAAACCAAACCGAATAAGTCGAGAGAAAATGTTGTTAAACCAATGTATTGTTCAAATGCACCTTTAATAACTTCTCAATGCAATTTTTAATCAACTAGCTAAAATACCTCGGGAACTGACGCAATTAGCAGCATATTGCTGATAAAAATGCCTTTATCAATGCTCTATATTGAAATTGATAAATCTTAACTTTGTAACGGGTATACTCTTTGCAAACTCCTGAGAAAGGCGTTCTTTTCAAAAATCTAGAAGCAGGTTAGATTCTAACAATTAGAAGCCACTTGCTTTGTTACAAAAGTGCAGTTAAATGTTTGAAAATATTTTGCATTCTTGCTTATATAAATAGTTTGACAAATTTGACCTGCTTTATGCGAGGCAAATTGGTTTATGACAATATTTCGCAACCATCAATGAAAACCGAAAATTAAAAAAATCAGATTCTGTAGTATTAAAGATATTCGATGCAACTTAAAGATCTGAAGAAAGCATTCGGAACAATTGATTACGCGCTTCTCTCAAGTGAACTTGAACTGTAATGTAGAAGGGGCGCTATTCTCAATTGGTTTTCCCGCTATCTTTCTGACAGGAGTCAATGTGCTATGACCAACTGTGTAATTACTCATTGGCCAGAGGTCCCACATGGGAGTTTCTCCAGGATCTGTTCTGATTCTCCTCCTATTTTGTCCGTGGAGATGTTGAAATTCAATTTCGCGAAATAGATACGATTGGCTGCAATAATGTTGAACTAAATAGCTATTCTGTTGATCAGAGATTATAGTCAAGTGACAAGATTGCCATGCTGTCCATTAGTCATACAAAATGAGGCCAGTGTTTTTTAAAAATCTATAATATATTTAAATGCGGGCTTCACTATCTCGCCCTGTTTAAGCTTTTTCAACGTATTGTTTTTGTATGTTTAATCTATATCGTTTATTGCAATGGTTAAGATTTTTTTTCGATTTTCGAATTTGATTTTAGTGATTATTTTTGCCGAGTTTAAATTAAGCAGCCCAATATCGAATTAGGGGTTACAAATTTGGCCTCCAATGTTGAATGCCCGAATCATTTTAGTTAACGAGAAAAGTCGATTTTTGAGATTTTTTCAAAAATTTCAAATAACAAAATAATTTACAAAACTTGAAGTTCCCAACCCTGTAGTTGGGTACTGTCAGAATACTATCATGGATTGCCAATCTTGCCTCCAAATATGACTGCTCAATTCTGTAGTTTTCGAGATATGACGTTTTTTTGTGATTTTTTCAAAAATTTTCAGAAAAATTAAAATATTATCATTTTCTAAAAATCTCAAATTCCCAACCCTGTAGTTAGGTCCTCTCAGAGTACTCTCAAGCATTGCGAATCTTGCCTCCAAATATATTTGCTCAAATCCTTGTAGTTTTCGAGATATGACGTTTTTTGTGATTTTTTCAAAAACTTTCAGAAATTTCGAGCAACAAAATAATTTACAAAACATGAAGTTCCCAACCCTGTAGTTGGGTACTGTCAGAGTACTCTCAAGGATTCCGAGTCTAGCCTCCAAATATGACTGCTCAATTCTTTGTAGTTTTCGAGACATGACGTTTCTTGTGATTTATCAAAAACTTTCGGAAAAATTCTATAATTTTTTTTTCGCAAAACCTGAAATCCCCAACCCTGTAATTGGGTTCTGCCAGATTACTCTCAAGGATTCCGAATCTAGCCTCCAAATATGACAGCTCAATTCTTTGTAGTTTTCGAGATATGACGCTTTTCTGATTTTTTTTTTCAAAGTTTCTCCAAGATATTATCTACAAAGAAACTTGCAAAATTTGAAACTACCAACTTGATGAAAACAACCTTATTGTCAGCGTATACCACGGCGTCTCAATTCTTGCCTCTAAATATGAATGCTCAAATCCTTTTAGTTTCCGAGATAGGGTGGTTTTTTATGATATATTCAATTTTTTTTCGTAAATCTTTAGTTTAAAAAAATTCACTAAATTTGAAATTCCCAACCGTATAGTAGGGTGCTCTCCGGTTCCTCTCAGTGGTTACAAATCAGGCCTCCAAATATCTCCAGAGGTCCATTAAGTTTTCGAGATATGAGGCTTTCTTGGTTTTTAAAATTTGAAATTACCAACCCTGTAATTGGGTGTTGTCGGAGTACACCAAAAGGCTGCAGTTCTCGTTTCGAATATATGCGGTTTATCATGAGTAGCCAAAAATTCAAAGCACCAGAGGTTCGTTACACACGCCAGTTCTTTTATAATGGACTTCGTCTGCTACAGCTCAAAGAAGACAAAGTTTTAGTAACGCAGACATGCTGGTCAATCTGATCTTATTTCCATAACCGAGACCTGGTTCGTACTTGAAAAAGGTACGCTTTGTCTCTTCTTGAGTTGACAATCTTGGAAAATGACGATCAAACAACAAAACATGACTGTGTTCTTACTGCTGTCAAGTATGACAAGCTAAACAATCCAGCTCGCAATTCTTTTCTTCGATGCTGCGTCAACAGCGTATCAATGGCAAGAACGTGTCGCCGACCTGTGAAAAAGTTCAAGGCTTCTTTACAAGTAAAACAGTCTTAATTGCCCAAAGCTACTTGCCAATGGTTCATTTATTTCAGCGCCACCTCCTGGCCGATGTTGCAATCGGCAGATTCAAATAATATGAAAATGCTCAAATTGATGATGTGCAACCAAACGAATCTGTTCTTATAATCCTTCTACATTGCCAACAAAGCAAAATTTCAAGATATATTCAATTTTTGTCGGGAATCTTAAGTTTGAAAAAGTTCACGAAATTTGAAATTCCCAACCGTATAGTAGGGTGCTATCAGGGGTCTCTCGGTGGTTGCAAATCTGGCCTCAAAATTCCTCCAGAGGCCCATCAAGTTTTCAAGATGACGCTTTTATGGTTTTTCAAAATGGGAATGAAAAAAATTTAAAAGTTTGAAATTACCAACCCTGTAATTGGGTGCAGTCAGAGTACACTAAAAGTTAGCAGATTTTGTTTCCAATATATGCGGTTTTTCATGAGCTGTCTAAAAAATTCGAAGCACCGGAGGTGCGTTAAACGCTAGTTTATAATTAACGATAAAAGATCAATTGAAAAGGCTCGAAGATGATTCCACAGACTTACAGCTGTAGATTTTTTGAGGAAAACATAAGCGCGAAAAAATCCTTAACTTACGCCATCACTTGCTTCTACCTTCGCATCACTTGCCAAGAATGCAAAGACAATAATGCAAAACATGCCAAGACAATAGAATGCAACACTGGCATCCCAACAAAACTGACCACGCTGTAAAAAAAACACAAAAAACCTCAGTAGAAGCCCTTCATGCCAAAAAAAAATCATAATAAATCTTTAAAAAAATATATGAGTCCACCTTCCCTTCAGAACACACACGCACACAAAACTTTTCTCGGCCATCAAACGATGCAATAAAGAGCCACTAAGTAGACATAAAAAAAAAGCCGAAACCGACTAAGTCGAAAAAAGACACAAAAAAAATTGAAAAAACCGAAATTTTTACATATCCGATTACTAAAATTACAACCAATGTAAAAGGCAAATTTCGATTCAGTCGCAAATCCTCAGACACTAATCAACTTCAGTGAAATTATGAGTGGATTAGTGAGTCGATGAGTTCTGTGGACAAAGTTGCTAACGGGAAAAAAGTCTTGTACACGATTGCAATACCCTTGCTAATCGCAAGGGTTTAAAAATTCAAAAAAAATGTGTGCAGAAAATTTTTGATATTTTAAAATGTTAATTTCTTAATGGCGCTAAACAAAACTCATGAAACAATTTATTTTTGAGAGAAACTAAGTTTTCAGGGCCTAAATGAAGCAAAAAATAACCTATTGTAAGCCTGCTCGCTCAAATTTAAATTTAAAAATTTTAAACCTGTTTTTCTCAATGCTGGGACAACTTTATGAAAATTTTTTGAATGTCGTTCCAATCACGACTTAAAGGGCTTCAATAAGATTCTCGCTCCGTTCCTATAATTATTTGTGGTACCTAAGTTTGAGTGGAAAGCAAAAAAAAATAAAACACTCGAATACAAAGTTCCTCCCCATTTTTCCAAATGGTTGGAACAAGACAAACATTTCAATTTTTTTTCTTCAATATTGGGGCATAGCCGCTAGCGCAGAAAATATTCGCACAATTTGTACCTCGATTGAGCCCTCAATCTCGGATATGAAAGGGTAGTTTTCGAGAAAAGCCAAAGTTTACAAAAAACTGTCAAAATTTTAAAATTTAGGAAAACTCTCGCCACCAGTTCTTTCTTTTGAATCCTCCTAAATCTTAGATTTGCCGAGGTAATTTTCGAATGAAGTAAAAAACGTTTACAAAAATGGTCAAAACATCAAAATTGGACATTACTAACACCATAACTTTTTTCTATCAGAGCTACTTATATGCAGAGAGATCACCATAACATGTGCTTGCGATTGAACTCTCTATCTCTTAAGTAGCACGATAGTTTTCGAAGTAGCCAATGTTTCCATTGATATCACTGTTTTGAAAATCAGCCAAGTAGTTGGAGAGAAAAGAGCAAACATTTACAGGTATAAGCCAAACCCCATTAACCAGGCATTTTCCGCTCGCGATTATTGTACCTGTTATTATCAAAGTGGAGTTTTTTTTTGAAAAATTACACATCTCAGGCGCTTTTCTCGTCAAAACCTCGAGTGGTATGCCGACCTGCTCAGATTTAGACATTTAATACCCCATTACCACGATGTGCTATCGCAAGTGGAATATTATTGTACTATTGGAACAGCTAATAAAAAATTTTCCATTATTATGACTCACTTTCAGCTCAGTGTGGTAAGCGTGGTAGAGAACGTGAACTGTGAGATGATTGTGATTTTGAGCATCAAAATTGTCACATCCCTGCCAAAAACAGTGAAGAGGTTGATCGCAATGATGGCTGGCAAACAAATGAACATTCGTCAGATGCAAAGTTAGTCGGTCCATGCTCTCGAACGTCTGATAACAACCTGTCCACCCGCATTGCAATGAAGGCTCACAAGCTTGTGAATCTTGAAATTCTTCGATATAGCAACCACTATATTGTAATTCAGGGGTATCCATTTCCATGACTACTTTGTTTATTACTCGCGTCGTAACATTTCATAATGGTAATTCAGAAATTTTCGTTCTGGAAAACCTCATCATATCGTTTTGGACTGAAATGATATTCAAAAGTGAAAACACAAAAGACGGATATCAGAGAATTAAACTGATTGTTCAGATCCTTTATAAGCCCAATAGAAATTATCAATGGTCCTTTCAAAGCTACAACAGTTAAAGCGATGCTCTAAGCCAAATTTTTAGGTAATCAGAAGGTCAAAAGTATCATAGTAACCGAGGTTACAGTCAGGAGTCCCTTCATCACGTATTCCAGTCAAAATACTTGAACTTTCTAGATATGACAAGAAGATGACAAGTGTTGAAGTCCTTACAATTAAAATCGATACGGGTTACGTTTCTTCAATCAGAACACGCAACTCGACACGAGAAAATATAATGTACAAGTGTTACACATAAAAAATTGCGTCGAAAGTTATTTTGTCATTTATTGTTCTGAGTACGCAATCAGCGTTCGCAATCTGTATTGCCAGGGAGATTCTCTGTTTTAAAAAGCTGCCTGCTCTGGGTTCCTCAAAGCATATGCTTAGATTCTTACAAAGCTTGCTCAAAAAAATTTATGCTGGGGCCGGCCGCGCCCTGAATCTCAAAAGCTAGCGGTTGATAAGGAAACCCATGATCTACTAAGTCATACTTGTCATTTTTTCGCTCTTCGGCAGCCGTACCATGGTAACAAACAGACCCGGCACTAATCCTTCAACGAGCTAAAGAGTCTACTACAGGCAATTCATTTCCTTGATTTTTTTCGGAATTGGAACTGAGAAATCTCACTAGGAATTGCGATAAACTTATTAAATAGATAAGTCTTAGTACGATTGATTTTGATCATCACCAGCATCTGGGACAATGATTACAAGACGAGAATCCAACAACTACATAAAGAAAGAAATAGGGTGCTCCAGCGACGGCTGTGATATATGGACAACAGTTTCATTGCCAAAATCTATCGCCGTTGCAACTCTAGAAAAAGCAGACTTTCTTTGTGGTTTTAGTGCCACAAAAAGACTAGCAGAACTGGAAGTACATCATAAAACAAAAACTGAACCCACTTACGCCGAAATGACGAAGAACATGGAAAACAGCAGTCTCTGCGCCACCATTGTTGAACAAGTTAAAGCGGAAGAAAAACAACGAATGGAAAAATCAAACAACCTTGTTATCCATGGTTTGAAAGCCGACAAAGATCAAACCGACAAAGAGATGCTAACAGATCTAGCTAGTGCGGTTTCTGTCACACTTAAAGAAGACGATTTTACAACACGCCGAATCAAGAACAAAAACAACGCCAATGCGAATCCGCTCCTCATCATTACGTTCAAAGACGCCATAAAACGTCTAAAACTACCGAAAAGTAGCAAAAAATTGAAAGATTGTGATGAATTTAAGGGAGTATTTATCAACCCTGACTATACAAAGGCCGAACAAGCACAGCAGTCTGAGCTACGACAAGAGCTGAGAACGAGAAGCCAGCGAGAGACTGACTCGGAAAAAACATGGATTATCAGAAACAATATGGTGGTTTCACTATGACTACAGCAGTCAATGAAACTTAACACAGAAGAGCTGAAAGTAATTCTGCGGAACATAGAAGGTGTTAAGACAAACATTGCACTACTGACAAACAATGAACTCGACACGGATATATTACTACTAACAGAAACGCTAGCTACAGATGACATCCCTTGCGTTTTACCAGGTTTTTACTGTTACTTTGCCGAAGTCGTGAAGCCACAGAGAGGACGGCCTATGGGAGGCTTATCTATTTGCGTCAGCAAGAGCCTAGACTGCAGAAGCACCGAAGTCTATAGAAATGAAAATATTCTGTGTGTATCTGTTAACTTACTTACCATCGTTGTTTGCTACTACCCACCGAATACCTGCGTTGATGATATTCTTCTTGACATCTGTCAATTCCTGGACACAGTGCCCACCTGTGCAAAAATCCTACTCGGTGGCGATTTCAACTGTCGCATTGATGGTGATCACGTACGGGGTGAGATCCTATGTGAAAATCTACAATTTGCTGTCCTTCACTGCATCAAATCTCCAGAAAATCGCACTTATTATTCCCACAACTGCTCGAGTACGATTGATCTTTTCTTTGCAAAAAATATAACAGCAACAATTCCGGCTACGCAACAGATGTTTCAGACAAAACATCAGATTGTTTCCTGCAGAATAATTTTTCATGCTGGGAAAGTCGACAAGAAGAAACAACACGCCCTTCTCTTCGACCCTAACACCTACGAACAGCATCAACTTGTCATGTATGACAACTTGTCAGATTCAAATAATTGCTACTCTCATTTCCTTAAATTAAGCTACAACATCTCGAGACCACGCGAGAAGAGACATTCAAAGCCGTGGTTCGACAGGCACTGCTACCAAGCGCACAAACCTTTAAAACTACAATGGTACCTAACAAATACCGGGGAAGGCAGTTTGGGGAGCTACTCTCAAGCGAAACGGTCTTTCAAGGCTATGCAGAAAAAAAACGCACAGCATACGAGAAAGATTGCGAAGAAACTATTATTATCACTGCAGAAGCTGACCGATCCAAATTTTGGAGCATTTTGAGTAGCAAGAAACGCCCCAACATGCCATCTCAAGTACAACAAGACTTGTGGATTACTCATTTTGAAGCCTTATTCCAAGGCGAGAAAGACGTTAGCTTCCCAGAAGAACCCAGTTCATGCGACTACTACGACGCCCTGGACCGCCCAATTTCTCTGCCAGAAGTTACGCAAGCAATATCAAGACAAGCCAACAACAAAGCTCCAGGACCTGATATGATTACCGGTGATTTTTTGAAACAAAGTTTTGGTCTCCTGTATTTGCATATTTTTACGCTGTTCCAGGTCTGTTTTGACTCAAAAGCCATTCCCGATGCCTGGCGAGTGTCAAATCTGATACCGCTTTAAAAAGGAAAAGGCAGCAAAAAAGATCCGGATTGCTACCGGGGCATAGCCCTCTTAAACTGTATATATAAATGTTATAAATCGATACTCCACAACCGGCTAGCTACATGGTGCGAACAGCATGGAAAATTTCCTGACGTCCAGTATGGCTTCCGTAGAAGTAGATCAACCATTCAAGCTATTAGCGTTCTCAGGGAGAACATTGACACATCAATCGAAACAATTGGCCACCTCTATGCGTGCTTCATCGATTTCTGTAAGGCTTTCGACACATTCAGCATTGATCGCTCTACTTTATTACAAAAATTGGCGAAGATGGGAGTATCCAACAATTTTCTGCTCGTCCTACATGATATCCTACGTCTTAATATGGTACATGTTGTTAATGATGGTTATCTATCTTCCCCGATACTCCAGCGGCTTGGTCTACCACAAGGAGACAAACTCTCTCCTCTTTTGTTTTCCCTGTTTATTGCTGATTTGGCAGAAATTTTTGTTCAGTGTAAGTATTTCTGCATATTCTATGCAGACAATGTAGTAATCACTTCATCATCCCCGTTTGACATCCAGTTGGAACTTTACAGGCTCGATTTTTACTGTAAAAACAACAACATGAACGTTAATGTAGGTAAGACAAATTCATAAAATTTCGCCGCGGAGGCAGATTGAAGAGTACAGATCGCATCTACTACATGGGGGAAGACTTTGAATTCACCAACTCCTTCGAATACTTGGGGGTTATTCTGACGGCCACCAACAAGAAAACTGCCCACTTGAATGAAAGACGAAAAAAGGTATAAACAACTTCAACGCCTTGTTTGCAAAAGTCAATATTCAAAAACTACAGCTCCAGCATGCACACAGACTATTCATGAGTGTTATTCTGCCCTCGGTTGCTTACGGTTGCAGCATTTTTACAGACAGTTTAGAGCACGCGGAACCAGTTGCAGGGTACTTCTGGAAACGCTGGTCTGGGTTGTCCAAATATGCGTCTACTAGCCGACTGCTACCCCACATTTTTGAAAACGACTTTCTGAACTTCGAAAAATCAACTGAGGAAACGCACAGAACCATAGCCAGCTACTATAACAACGGCCTACATAACGCGATTTGTAAGACTGAACGCTGCTACAAACCGGACTGCTCATGTGATTGTAAATTTTGTGACTCTACAGCTGATAACTACAACCACCTGCTATACAACTGCTCGTATCTCAAGGATCTACAAACTAGAACGTGGTTGGTGAAAATCCTTCATAGACAGTGAACATTATAGTTTTACTTTGAAAACTTATTTATCTCATTTGAGGTGTTTAAAATTAAACTTTTTCCCTTTCTCTAACTAGGAGTTGGATTTGCTTCAATTCCGATTACAGGAATTGGAATTGACTACAAATATTTATCAGCTCGGCTCTGAAAGAAATGTTTTTTTTTGTCACTTCGACTGGGACGGTCCTGAAATAAATTTTTTAGGTCTATCCGGCTGAGGCGGCTCTGAAATAAAAATTTTTGGTCTATCCGACTGAGACGGTTCTGAAATAAAAATTTTTGGTCTATCCGACTGAGGCAGCTCTGAAATAAAAACGAAGACAGGAAAAAAACTTCTCATCAGAAAGAACTCCTTATCACTTATCAATTAAATCAGCACACTGAATGCATTTTCGGATATCTGATTTGCGATTATTCGTGTACTGCACACTGAAAAACTTATTAATTGCATTTGTTGATGATGTATTTACACGATATCCAATCCGATCATCAGCAACATCCACACTTCTTACAGGGTGATTATCAACCTCAATCACATTATCTGCCATCTAGGTAACTAAAAAATAAACTAGGTTTACTATACGTGCAATGGGTGTGTTTTTACAATTCGAGACGACTTCAAAAAGCATCATTCAGCATTGTTTCTCGATTTAGAGAGTTTAAGGAGTTTTAAAAGAACAGTGCATTTTGGGTTCTCGTCTCGCTCAGTTAGGTTTCGAAACGAGTGTTCAGCTATTTCTGCTCCTGATTTAGTACTGCATGCTACCTGTACGTTTCCCAAATTTTTTTGTCGCTCGGAGAGGGCCTTTCTTCCAGCGAATTTAGACGCGATACGTCTCAGCGTGTTGCCAATGCCAATCGATCCCAACCTTCCACCTATCTTTATGAGGGCGATAAGCTGAGCGCTACAAAAGAAAGGTCTTAGGGGTTCGGGTATTTTGCCATCTCCAATGAGGTTTATCAGCTTAGTAAGCGATTTCAGAAAATTAGATTCTGCACTGCCATTCAATTTACTAACAAGGTCTTTAAAAAATTGAGGATATTTTTCATCAGGACCTGCTGCTGATCGGTTTGGAATCGACATTTTTGCTTTGTATAGGTCAAATTCGGTTACGAAAAAACGATCTAAATTTTCTGGATTTAGAGCTGCAAAGTCGGCTCGCTGAGGGTGCTTAGACAACATTTTTTGATAGTTATCAGTTGAAAAAGGAACAATTTTGTCATCCGAAGCAGCAAGCGTTATCCTTCCCTTTAAAATTCCTTCATCAAGCTTACTACTTATTAGATTTAATCTCTGCTCGAGGTCACTCAGAGGCGGGCTTGAAATTTGAAGATGGGGTTTTGGATGTGACACGTCATTCTCTTGAATTTTTTAGTTATCAAAGAGCTCATGCTTGTGGTCTGTTTGCGTCCACTTCTTTTCGGCTGCTCCAAAAAAAAAACAGAAAGACGTTCGAAAATTTAGCCATTTTTTAACATCTTCTGCATTGTAGAAGATGTCCTTTTCTTTGACCGATAGACTTGTCGTCAAGGAAACACCCGAGTCTTTTGGTACTCTCATGAGTACTCGGATATTTGGGATGGCTGTATTAACATAATTGTCTATCAATAAA